GTCCGAAGTGGCTTGATGCTAACACTAGTACATTATTGGAAGGTAGTGCAGCATGGTGAACAGTAAGACAAGAGTGTCTTGACCTATGACCGAAAGGTAGATACCCTGTGGCATGAGAAAATAGATTGATTTCAGCCTGGATCAATATTAGTGGTTTACTTCGTTGATCAATCCTGCGAGAAGCGTGCCATTTGTTAGCATATGGTTAACCATCGCTCACACTTACAATTTTCCATTTATCCTTATCTTCATCCTAGAAGACTCGATAATGGATAAAGAGTGTACCAAGCATTTGGTCGGCGTTCATTGGTGAGAGTCCTCGATGTTCTTTGGCAGCAAGATGACATCTTCCCGCTCCATTCTATTTTACCCCACACTTTACCTTTAGTGTCTACCTGTCTACCTTAATGCACACGTTATATACATTGCATCCGATCCGAAATCGTCTCACGAAAAACCCGAAGACCGAAACCTAATCGGTTGTTTACTGTCTGTCAACTTTGTGTTTGGACTCGACGGTGCTCAATAATTGTCGACTTGTATTTGAAGATCGAATTTGAAGATTGGAAGTGCTTCAATGCTGTATCTGCATATTTGTATTCGGACATTCAAAGCATACTGGGTACGACTGTCGAATCCGAATTGTGGTATTCATGTTTGGTTTTCAGCTTTGATTCCCAGCAGTGAGATATCGAGTGCCACGTAAATCTCGATAAGCTTGTTTGTGTAAAATTATTTTGGGGTGTAATTTCGGATCGTATAGTTATGGAAAGACTGTCTCACTCCTGGGGTATATCTATATGGATCAATGAATTCGACTTCACTGCTAATATTGTTAATCCATTCACTACGTCTCTTTCTAACTGAGCCATAGTGATGATCTGATAGCCACACTCATCACCGCCTCATCCGTAATATCTGTGACCAGTCTTCGAGTTCTATGTGCATCTGAGTCCTTCACAGTGAGGCTAATGCACGCCGAGAAAGAACACCATCTTCCCCTCACTGATAGGATTTATTTGAACTCAATATGGAAGTCTTACCTGACCATGACTAGGTAATATTGCTCCATGGCAATCGTGCTTTTGGCTGGATTGGTCGACCGTCGCGTTCATGGTTTGATTGAAGTAATCTGGAAAGGAGCAAGACGGGGTAGTATATTTCTCTTTATACCACTTGAGACGTGAGAATAGAATTTTCTTCCGAGAGGACCTTTACCAAATGATTAGGAAATTTCTACAACAATATCCATCCACTTGGAAGTAGGGGAGAAAAAAAAGGTGTATGATTTTTGAGACTTGAAATGAGGGTTGTGTTTGTATGCAGCCACCAACACACACATTAATTATTCAGAAATAGATGTAAAAGTAGTGACAGAGACTCCAACAGTCTAAACGGAAAACTCAAATTTACGACAGATAGCAAAGGACGATATGCCTTTATGGGTCCCACTCTATGAACCTTCATCTTGTATAGCTTTATCAAACTCCCAGCCACCAAACCCAACAGTCGGATTTGTACCAAAAATGGTTAGGAATATATATAACCTTCCTCTAGCAAATCCACTTGGATGAGGTTTAAACAAGTAGAAGAGTGGAGAGCCTCGGTCGCGGATATAGACCATTGAGTTGTAATCATATATAAATCCACACCGAGGACCTCGGCGTAGACATGCAACAAAACGGTTTCAAATACTTCCAATCCGGCGATAGTGAAGCCACGTCGAAAGACAAGGAAGTGAGAGATGCAACAGAAAATAAAAACCAGTAGAGAGCTTTGTCGTGATGAACATGCCAACAAATGTGATGTGCTGCGTGCTAAGCCCTGAGTAAGAACAAGGGTTTGATTGCTCCCAAAATCATCTGCGCCGCCAACACCCACTGCTATGATCGAAAGGCTAGACCGAGCGAGTTGAGACTCAGGTCGTATTGATGATGTTGATGGAAATTGTTGGATCCAATCTTTGAATTGCTGAAAAGAAGGAGAAATTGATTTCTGTACAGCCGCCAGCTTCACAATGACTGTAAGGACCCACGTTCATTATTCTGGAACTGTTGTGCTTGACTTGATCCTTTCCTTCGTATGCGCCGACATATTATCGATGTTGTCTATCTTTTTGCAGGAAAGACCACATTGCGATCCAAGAGTGGATGAGTTGATGATCTACGTTACTAATTCTGGAAGCATTGGATAAGTTCACAAATTGATGTGATTGACGGCGGTTCATGACTGTGATGACGAAGAGAGTTTACTAGGACAGGCCCAGTCTTTACTCGAGAACGGTGTCTGACAGCTCGAGACAGCTAGACAGACTAGACCCGGAACACTCATCAAAATTGTTTTACCTCAGCCTGAACCATTTCCCCGCAAGTAAAAAGAATAAACATCCAATTATATCTTTGATTTTGGTCCAGGTATTTGATTAATCGCTGCACAATGCACGTCGTAAGTACGAGTAGATGTCGAGGATGATGGATGAGGGTGATAGATGAGGGTGATAAATGAGGATGAGGATGAGGATGAGATGAGGATGAGATACACGAGATACACGAGATACAGTCGTAGCCGCAGTCATCTTCATCAAAGTCATACTCACACCCATACCCACACCCACACCCATACCCATTCCCTCTCTCATTCCCATTCTCATTCTACCATGCAGTTGCTCGGTTCCATGAAGGAATGTTGTTGACAAGGGATCTGAGCGGTAACACCCAAGAAAAACCATATTTTTGGCCTGTCACACACATCACTTAAACCTCACCTCCTATTCTTGTTCTATTCTAGAAGAAATAGAAGTCAAGACGAGACAAGACAAGACATGAGTCAGATTTATTTCTTCTTATTCTTCCACAACTCAATTGCTTCTACGGTTGTCTCAACTCCTCTTTACAACGCGAATATCCGAGTAACTTTAGGAAAACTCAATTGAAACTTATTCAGAAACAATCAATAGGAGAACGTTTGCCAATTCACTATCTGCCGCATGCAGTACAAATGTTATGAGAAAGATCATGTAGGATCGGGATTTGGTACAACACGATATAAGATTTTCTGAGCGGACACATCAACAAAATACACAAAACATGAGTACAAACGTTACTGAAGTTTTCAGAAATCATGTAACAATGGATGACATTACAATTAATCCTCAATCCGCGCAAATCTCGAGTTCAAGGAGAGTATCGATGGAGGAATATTACAAACAAAATAATGAATCTTCCGACCACATACAAGAACCAGAAGTTGAGGAGGAACCAGAGGAAGAATCGGAACATGAGCCAGAAATTGATGTCGACGATAAATCCACAAATTCGCAGTCAATAATAGATCCTCTACTTGATTCTCCTCCTTCTTACGATGCTTCCGTTCGGTCTCAAAATATGCGAAATCGTTTAAATATTCAACCTCGAGAAGACGAAGGAAGGGAAATTCTCCCAGGATATTCTACTGGTATCAGTTTGGAGAATGTGTTTATGAGGAAAATGGAAATGCAGGGCGCGATACACAGAGCTTCGGACAGGAATTGGTATCGAGTATATGCAACCTTGCGAGGAACACTCTTAACTTTTCACAAGGTCAAAGGCTCGGGGGTATTTGGTTTGGAGCTTGGGGATCGAAAGAGTACACCGGATTTACCTGTCGGTACAAAACGTGGAAGTTTATTGGGAAGCTACAATTTACAACATGCAGAAGTTGGCATAGCTGCAGATTATGTAAAGTAGGTTTACATACACCAAGTATTAAGAGGGTAATACTAATAGCTACTAGGAAGCACTATGTTATTCGAGTCAGAGCAGAAGCAGACCAGTTCCTTCTATCGTGCGTGAAAATTGAAACATTCGTTACCTGGCTTCAATCACTCTTCACAGCTATCAACCTCTCTCTTCCACTTGACGAGCGACAAATACCCCGAGATCAATCCATTCCACGACCACGAAGACGAAGAAGAAGAGAAGCCAGAGAGGTACAAGTCAGCGATGAACTTATTCGAGCGCAAGAAGAACTCATTCGCACACATTATCCCAATTTCGCAAGTTCAAACACTCCCGAAGGTAGAGCCATCACCACTCCCTCTCGATCATCCACCGCTCGACCCTCGACCCGATCATCCGCACCTCACACATCACGCATCCCCGACGAATGCATGAACGAATCCGAAGCCGCGCTGGAAGCTCTACGCGAAATGGGTCTCATAAGTAGTCGATCCCGTCGTCATCGCATGCTTCGACGCACGCCAAACCCCACCCCTTCCCACTCTTTCTGTCCCGAAACGGGAAAATGGCGTCCGGAACATGCCTGGTCTCCTAGATACGATATGATATATGCCAAAAAATGCATGGCGATCCTCACAAGTCGCTCCCCTCGAAAATCAAACTACTTGATCATGAAGGGAAAACAATGGATTGTGGATTGGAGTACCGGCTCATTAACCAGATGCGAACCTCCGGAATATGGAGAAGAGTATTGTGGGAGCTGGAAAATAAGCCATAATGGTACGCCGGTCAAGGCTTGAATTATAGAATTCGGATGGAGTTTTCTTTACTTCTTTTCATTTGTTAGGTTGGGTGTAATGGTGGAGTTCATGCTGGATGGGTAAAATTAGCGTCTCAAATATACAACTCTTTTTGGTTATGGATAAACCTTTTAAGGAGATTATAGATACCAGGACGGGAACATGGTATATGAATTGAGGTGTTTCTGGAGCCTAGACATTTTCTTGACTCGTTTGTATTGTTATATAGTGCGCAATCCATCGCAGATTGCATTGCATGCATGGTCTTTCAGTATAGTATAAATAAACACTTTATACTTCATCATTTTCGTGTCCTAGCCTGGATGAAGACCAATGTTCAAAGTAACTCCTGCGTACACCGAATTCCCTTTTCAATACCACCAAGCGCCATGAGATGAAATCCAATAAACGCCAATAAATATACACCTCCCATTACCTTCCTCAATCACACCCAAACTCCCGTCTTCTCCCAAAGAAACTCCCATTATCATTTCTCCCCCCACGTCTCACAACCCCACTCCATAGCCACCAAAAACCAGCCTACGCATCCCTCAAAGCATTCTCCGCCTCCAAAGCCTCCTTTCCCAATCCATCAACCTCTCGATCCATAACCTCATTCGCGCGATCCAGATCTTCAACCACAATTTCAACCCCTCTTACTAGTTTTTCAATCTCCTCTCGCTGTTTCTGGATTTCGTCTGCGAGACTCGCGTTTTGCGATTGTGTCGTTTGGAGTTTGGCGTTGAGTTGTGATTGTTGTGTTGTGTAGAGGGGGGTGAGATGGGCGGCGAGGATGGAGGGCGCGGGGAGGGTGTGTGGGCTAGAGGGGGGTGAAGTTAGTTGTTTGTTTGTTTATGGGGATAGAGAGAATGATAGTGATAGTAGGGAGAAATAGTAGAAGGGCGTAGACATGAACCCCAAGAATAAAAAGATAAAGAACGAAAGATAGATATATAAAAAAACTACACTCACGCAACACCCAGATCCCTCCCCTCCGTCTCCGCATCCACACCCCTCGCTTTCCTCCGTCTCGCACTCTCAATCACCCCCTCCAGGCCATTCAATCGTTCCACCACTCTGCGTTCCTGCAAAATCATCTCGAACTCATCGAGTGCGAATTGGCGTAATCGGGAAACCATCTGCCCATGCACGGCTTTGAGCGCTTCCGGCGCATTGCGCGAGATGGAGGGGAAACAGGAGGAGAAGGCGGGGTAGGAAATAGTGTGTAGAGCGGAAGCGAGAGATTTTTCATAGACGGTGTAGAGAGCGTTGGCGCGGGGGCCGGGGGTGAGGGGAATGGGGGCTTGGGGGGGAGGGGAGGGTGAGGGGGAGGTGCTGGGCATGGTTGGGGTTTGGGGTTGTGGTGGGGAGATTCTGTGGTTGCGGAGATGTTTGAGTCGGGGTATGGATGAGGGTTGATTGTATAGTTGTAATTGTAGTTGTGGTTGCGACGATGGGGATTGTGTGGATGGATGAATGAGCGATTGTTTACTTTACATTTTTTTGCGATTTGGTTGTCGCAACGAATTGATAGCGGAATGACGCGTTTTCGCCAGTTTTAGCGTGTGTTTTTAGCGTTGCTTCCCCTGGACTTCTGCTGAGTTCCAGGCGGCTTTTTATTTGATGAACTACCAAGCAGATATTTTCACTGTTTCTGCATGATTTAAAGAATGGTGAGCTGATATGGTCAAATTGGATTCATTGTGGTGTTCTATTGTGCCAAGAATCACTTATTTCAGGTGTATTTGATCACTGGAGTCAATTGCGCTGTGCCGAACAACACACCTGATCGTCGTCAATCCGGGTGATCTTGATGATGCAAATGGGAAGAGCATAGCACACTATGATCAACTGTTTATGGAATATTGTACATCAAAGTCTGGATGACAGGAATCTAAATGACCAAGTGGCGTTTGGATATCAAAACTGATTCCAAGCTGATTTCAGGACGATGACAATCCATTGTATCTATGATGTATTCTTGCCAGTGCCAAAAAAAAAGCGTCATGTTTGTCTAGCAGCAGTTTATGGGACTACATGTTATTCATGGGCTTGGAAGATCTCAATCAATTCCCAATGGACCTTACTCATTAGTGGTCAACCTTTGCGTGTAGTCAGGTATTGCCCTTTTCCCAGCGATTGTATTGGACTATCTTTCTCCCAATCCCCAAAAGCTGTTTCATATGTGCAAACAATGAATTCAAATCAGAGGGATATATGATGTCAAAGCTAAGAAATTAATCTGCTCCCCAAAAGTTGTTTTCTTCTCTGTATATATCATCTCGTGCCCTTTTGCTTTGTAGCTCAAGATCTCGAAATTCCTCATCTCTTTTCTCTAGCATTTTCTTAGTTCTTCTTTGCCAGAGGAGCCACATTGCCCACAATGTCAAAGTGGTCGGAATTGTAGATGCCCAGTAGACGTAAAATTTCTTCGCGACTATCCCCGCGTAAACACCGTGTTGGAAATTGAAAAAAGTGGTACTAAAGATTGCCTATGCTCCAATTAGCTGTTTAAGCAGATAAATTTTCGTGTTCAGTCAAACTTACTGCAAAGAAAGTACCAGGCAGAAACCAAACGCCTAGCAATGACATAGTTGTCTGCTTCCGTGTCTCTAGCATTATTTCTAGCTCTCTCTGTGTTTTCTCCTTTGCTTTCAGCTCTTGGTCTTTGTTTTCCATTAAGCGTGCAGTTCTCTGCCTCTTGTATTTACCAAATTGTCTCTCTTTCTCTTGCTTGTGAATATCCAGCGAGACCAAATTTTCTAACACGTTCCCAATCAATTTCAACCTTGAGATTGTAACTTCACGATGGGTGCTTATTCCCTGAAGTCTAGACTGCAGTAATTCAAGCCTTCCCTCCATCATTGTTTGAATCTTCCTTAGTCTTTCCTTTCTGTCATCCGGCCACAAATTTTTGAAGTCCGCTAATGTCTTCTCCATTTTTTGGACAATAGTAGTATACCCTTCCGGTCGCTTCCACAAAACATTCTTATGGCAGTCTACTAGATCACTGTTGATTTGTGGAAGATTGACGTTATCTCTCCTGGTAAAGTCGGGGTCAGCATATTTGTGGGATATTTCTATCACATCTTTTTCTAGGATTCGGACCCGTTCTCGATTGTCTCTGTGGCGTTTGTCTTCTCCGACATCAATATCGCAAGAAAAGACAAGAGTGGGAAGGAACAGCGGATGGTCGATTTCACCGACGCATTCACGAAGACATCTAACACATTGAGCAACATCAGATCGAGGTGTACTCTTGAAAAAAGCGTTCGTGATACCAGTCTTAAGAGAGTGTGAGAGAATCAATTCCCAGTTTCGAGCTTTAGATGGTTTTTTCACGTCACTCTTGCGGTATATTATCTCTGGCAACGATCAGCTTTGTAGCATGTTATCATTTTTACAACCACTTACGAAGATAAAGATCATTTTCGTTTTGCTCATATCCAGACCAGTAAAATGGGCCCACTGCGCTTAGAGTTTCAATCCATGAATGAGGAAGATGCATTGCGTCCACCATTTTTTTATGAAAGCCTTTAGGTAAAGATAAAAACTTGGGTTCGAATGTATTAGGATGGATTGCATTTCCTTGCAGGCTGGTAATATTAGTAAAGGAGGTTTCGTCATACTAGAGCGCCCAATCGAATTAAAATTCGAGATGGTATCTTCAAAGCCAAACAGAGACTCTAAAGCTAATCACACTCGTGCTGATTGACTAGACAGCCGAGTTGGCTGATATGATGAGTTGGTCAAACGGAATGTGGAAAATGCTATGGTCTAGTAATATCAAAGATTCGCAATCATCTTCGTCATTGACATCTCTTAGGATACCTGAAACGAAATATTCTGTGCGCTGAAAATTCTTACATGAGTCTGATTCCTCCGATGCATCCTTGATTTTTGTTTTTAAATCTGCCCTAGAATCTGTAAGCTTAATTCTAACTTGATTTCAACAACAGACTATCAATTTATCAACGCTGTTTGAGCAATCGAACATTGCTTTTCTCGTTGCTTGAACTTTAGATCTCACCTTTTGATCCAAAAAGTCATCGAATTCTTCGACCTCAAGAATGGTCTCTTCAGTCACCGTCGTTCGGTATTCCGGATCCTTTTACGGTCAATTAGATCATGAACGTCCCGATAGAAAACAGCGATGATTTACAACGTTCATCAGATTAGGTGACTTACAGTATAAAGGAAAGTTTCGAAACATGTTGTTTTCTCTTCAGCTATAGTGCAGTCTTGTAAATGTTGGTCAAATAAAAATTGATCCATGATGGTCTAAATGGTACAAAATGGCTAAACATTGAATGCAGCGCGTTTTGCACCATCATTAATACACAATTCATGAGGCTTGAAAATTATTTTGTGTTCGGATTTGTTACCAAATGAACTCACCGACAGGTACCTAGTCAACCTTGAATGCGAGTGTTCGTGTAGATGAGGGCTGAATCACCAAGTGGCATCACTTTGAGCCAATGAATTGAAGTTAATAACAACAAATTGATGGCTGTGCAAACACACAGCTTGTACTATTCACCTATTGGTTACAAGAGAACTTACATATCATGGCGAAATGTAATTAGTTGGCTACACGCCTTCATAAATAAGTGGCTTATCGTGGCCGAATAATTTCTCTCTACTGATTAACCTTGTTCTAAGCATATTGCTGGTTTACGGGTGCAACTTTCATGTTCGTTGAATGATGATTCCGTCAAATATGGACCTGCGCAGAGTTCTAGAACTATCAATACTCTCTTTACGCATTCTTCTTGGGTCGCTACACAAGATGGGGCTTTCTCAAAATAGAAAACTTCAGAAGAGGGGCAACAACAAAGCACAGAATGCTAGACTTGCAAAGCAACGCCAACCCTGGGTCGAGCCTCCTAGTTGACGTTGAATGCGACTAAAACCTACACGTTCTATGTAGTCATCAAAAAACTTGCGGGCGGGCCAAAGCAGAGTTAATTAACATGCGAGTGAGCAAACTTGTAGCTTCGCGGATCTTCGACTGAGCTGGGCTACATCAAACTAGATCAAAACGTGGCCGCCGTTGCAGGATTGTTGTCTCTTCGGTATCACATGGTAACTGTTTTTATCACATTGATCACCGATGAAATCAGGCACAAATCTGAACATGGCAATTGATCAATTTGTAACTGAGAAATAGCTATCATAGAGGATTAGCGTGTGATAAGCTCATTGAGTGGATCCCACCCCACAACCCCACTCACTGCTGCTATAAGGAAGGCCCTGGGCATCTTCCGAGCCATCGTCTACGGATATTGTTCCGTATACAGCTTCTATTCTCATTGATGCAGCATGCAAGTGCGTTATCTGATATGGTACAAGAAAAATATGGCAGGCGAAGCTTAAATACAGTAACTTGCTTGTCATTTCAGGCTGCTCTTCTTCTAGCAGGACTATCAAATCTTGAGCCGAGCTTTCCATGGACACCAAAGTCCATGAAGCCTTATATTAATCAAGACAAGTGTCCAGTGCTGAGAGATTTTTCTTATGTATGCCTAGCATCACTCGATACGCCTAAGAATTATGCATTATGGACTAAATTGCGAGTTTTGTCTCACTATTGAAATCGAAATTGTACTTAACATACGATAATGAGCCTATTGTTGCGAACAACTTCTCCGGTCCCTCGAATTCACTTCCTACGGATCAACTCATGTGATTTTCCAGCTAGAATGCGTTTTGGAATGCACGAATTGATATTGATACTTATCTGGCGGCTTTAAGACGGATTACTACAGCACATTTTGCGATACAACAGGGAAATTTGGATCTCGTAGCTAAATTATAGATGCTTTGTTGAGGATGTCTAAAATACTCCGAATTTCTAATAGAATGGGAAGAAAAGGATGATTTATCCACAAAGGTCTTCTAAATATCACCTGCTATTCGCGCCCTCTCCCCATTTTTATCCCAGATTTTTTCATGGTGTGCGTGTAACTTTTAGCCTCAGCCCCAACGAACTTTTGATATCAACCTGGAACTCCGCAATACAATGGTTGCACTGTAACGACCCCACCGATATTTGCACCAGTGAGCTTTTTGCTTTGAGTAGAAGTCCGCGAGACTTCTCATAATAAGTGTATCATTGGATTTATCCCAACGCCACCGCCGGCATATATCAGAACTAACTTGCCCCTTCTCGGCCCTCTAAAATGATGTGGTTCCCCCCGTTAGAGGTATAAAGGACCCACCATCGTATAATATACCGGAATCTATTGCCACCGGGGCAAGCAACTCCGTATGATTCGTAATAATATTTGACATGGGATCAAGTAGGCCGACGCAATCCTCTCGCTGATAAAACATGTTTATAGCCATTATCCAAATGGCATTGTTGCAGTCCCATGCTGGATATCCTTATCCGTCCAGTAACTGAGTCAAAACTCGCTCTCTGTAGGTGGGTTGTAATAATTTGTCAATCAACAAAAGTTGTGAATCAATCTTTTTCGAAATCCGACGCATGCGATTCCAATGAGATTTGCCATAAAATCGCTTGTAGTACTGCAACGATCCTGCGTTGTCTACATGGTGAATGATGAGACATAGCTCGCATACAACATGATTGGACAAGTGATTGGCGAGGAGCTCTAAGAAATGTAGCTTTTGATAAGGCTGGGTATTCAGATGCTGGAGATATTGATTTCTCATTCGTTTTTTGATGTGCGGACTACAAATCGAAAAGGCAGCAGCTGATGAGATGGGTACTCGGTCAAGAATATCAAGCAGGATATCCATCGGTAATTCCTCTATCTTGGACAACTTTAGAGCGTTCTTGACTGTACACAAAAGACCATTCCAACGCCATTTGTCTAATACTGTCAAATTGCGTGCGGGAGGTATACTCCGAGAAATTATGACATCGAGGCGGTCCAACAGTGTTTTGAAAAAGGGAAGAAGCAATTCAATTGCCAATATGAAGTATTGATATCGAGGAGAATGTATTAAATGACGCTGTAATTGGCAAATACAAGAAGTATTGTCATACATAGACATTGTGAATCTCTTTCGATAGGTGGTATACAAATGAACTGATGTGATCTTGGATTGATTTGGGAGGAGAATTTCCAACAAAGCTGGCAACGAATTGACCGTATCACTAGAAAGGTTAAGAGTTGGGATCTCTACCAACTTAAGTATTCATGAGTGATTGCTTTCAAAGTTACTATGACGTCTGAAGTACTTGCAGTCTTATACTCTGATATGGAGTTAGTCCATTACTCTTCCTTCAACTAAACAGACTAGTGTATTGATTGACGCCTTGGTAAACCTCTCATGCCTAGGTAATATTGAGCAATACCGTAAAGTGAAATTAGAGGTCAAAAATTATATGATCTATCAAAACCATACTTGGGGCAATGAGACTTCATATAAACCAACAGAGGAATGAATTGGACACTTCCAATTGGACGTGTTTCAATTGGAAAAGTAAGGTCGCTTTGTTCACGACTCGTACTTTTAGGTTCACACGCAATTCGTATATAAGCTTCTGAGCCAATGGATAATGCGCTCGCAATTCCTCCTATACTTCAATCCGATTAAGTCAAGTCGATGAGTCTGTGCGGTTCAAGACTTCAAGTGGATGGTTCAAGATATAGGTATTTTTGAAAATACAACATGGCAGGGGCGTCAAAAAGCTTAAGAACAACTGGCAAGAATCTAAGCCATGTAATGATTCTCATGATTGTTTGAATTTTGTGAGTGTAACATTGTTGACAGGATTGATGTTGATGTCATTAATAATCAATAAGTTCTCAATTTGTTCAATACAGTTTTTGCCGGAGAATCGCCGATGACTGTACTGCCAAGGTTGGGGTGCATTAGTGCGGAATGCTTCCTCACTCCTCCGCTTAACATGTTAAAAGTCACGAGAATGTACCACCTCGCGACGTTTATATCTTAATATACAATTCAAACTTTATATTCGTTGTGTTTGATATGAATCTTGGCAAATCTGGACTTCTAGTTGATGAAACAAGCAGTCAACATGAATCGTCTTCTATCACCTATTTTTCAAGCTAGTAAACACTCCGTCCCTGCGAAGATGCCAGCCAATACTTCAACATTACGCCAGACCTTAGCTGGAAGTCTACATGGTAGATCCTCAATGCTGAGAACACGGTTCGTCTCTAATTCGGCTCATAACGGGACCGTTACTTCTTCCACTTTCAGCAAGTCAACAGTGTTATTATGTTCTCTCGCGTCTGCAACCGCATCACTATGTGTTGGATATGGCTATATGTCATACCAAGGTAAACTTGATCAAAAAGTCTTCGGATCTTCCATAAAGTATGCAGAACCAACTGTTATGCTTCAAGTAAGTTTTGGAGGAAGGAATTTGGACTATCACGTGATAACCATTTAACTAAGATGTAAAACAGGCCATTCAGGAGATCGCCAATGAATTAGGAGATGATTCAATTAGCTATGATGAGGAAGAACTATTGAGGCATTCTTACTCGGAATGGTCTACTTCAAACTCGGAGACAAGACCTCTTGCGGTTGTCTATCCGAAAGACACAGGTGATGTTGTCAGAATTGCAAAGATTTGTTCCAAGTATAGAGTTCCCATGAGTGAGTTCTTGTGAACAATCGCATGGTATCAATAATACTGACTGGTTAAAAATAGTACCATTTGGTGCGGGCTCAAGTGTGGAAGGCCATATTTCTACTCCCTGCTCGGGGTTGAGTATTGACTTTGTAAAGATGGATAAAATTGTTCAATTCCATCCAGATGAGTGAGTCTGATTGCTATTGTAATGTAACTACGTTGACTCTCAAAAGTATGGATGTTGTCGTACAGCCAGCTGTTAATTGGGTGAATCTCAATGAGCAAATCAAGGATACTGGACTTTTTCTTCCACTGGATCCTAGTCCAACGGTATGTTATTCAGAGGGAGTAAATGTTTTAGATTCTTGAATGTAAACTCTAATATTTCTAGGCTCACATTGGAGGGATGGTCTCTACAAACTGCAGGTACATTCATCTGCTCCTAAATATTCCTGGCAATTCTCACATTTCTTAGTGGTACCAATGCAATGAGATATGGCACCATGAAAGACTGGGTTATTAATCTGACTGTTGTTTTGGCTGATGGAACAGTAATAAAAACCCGAAGAAGGCCACGGTATATTTCCATCTTTTGATTTGATCTTCGTGCATCATCTGCTCTAACCATAAAGTAGTAAAACCTCCGCAGGTTACAATTTAACCTCACTCTTCGTAGGAGCAGAAGGAACTTTGGGGTTGATTACAGAAATAACTCTCAAGTTGGCTGTAGTTCCCGATTCGACTAGTGTTGCGGTAGTTACATTTCCTTCTGTTGCTGATGCTGCAACAGCTGCTTCAAAAATCATTAGGACAGGAATCCCGTTAGCGGCCATGGAAGTTATGGATGAAGTTCAGATGCAGGTCATCAATAAGAATGGAGGCACTGGAGGAAGGATGTGGGAAGAGCGACCGACATTATTTTTCAAGTAGCTATCTTTTGACTGATTTACCCGTGCCAATGTCGTACTGACGAAAATAGGTTTTCTGGTACAGAGCAAGCAATAAAAGACCATATCCAGCGAGTGCAGACCATAGCCAAACAATGGAAAGGTGGAGAGTTTCAATTCGCACGAACAGAAGAAGACAAGTCTGTTCTATGGTCCGCGAGGAAAGAAGCTCTGTGGGCCATGCTAGCACAACGGCCACCAGGTACAGAAATTTGGAGTACAGATTGTGCAGTACCTATGTCAAGGTTGGCCGAGATTATAGGTAGGTCATCATTTTATTGAACTTCACTTATCTACCTACTTAAGCTGATGCCTTTGTAGATATTTCGAAAGCAGAATCGGGGAAACTCGGTTTATTTTCTAGTGTGCTGGGTCATGTAGGAGATGGAAATTTTCACCAAGCTGTTATGTATAACCCAAAAGATCCAGTCGAGACAGCTGCTGTCAAAAAATGTGTGTATGATATGCTTGACAGAGCATTGGAGATGGAAGGAACTAGTTCTGTTAGTACCTTTGAACTATCAAGTATACGGTCAATTGCTAAGTCGATTTAGGGCGAGCATGGAATAGGTCTCGGTAAGAAAGTGAGTAAAGAGAATTTGGGGGTTTGGTTGAGCTGTATAGCATCAGCAAAACTTCAAATATCCAATACAGTTTCATTATGGCCCCCTAGCTAATTTTTTATTATTAGGATTGCTTGATGAAGGAACTCGGCCTCGATACAATTACTGTCATGAAAAAACTCAAGCATTCTCTTGATCCAAAGTATTTCCCCAACTAACATTCAAGTGGAGGGGAAGCTAATTCAGAACAAAATAGTTGGCTATTGAATCCAGGAAAGATATTCAATGAGCCATGAGCTCCAAAAGTCGAATTTTGAATATTAGATGCTTGAAACTCTCGCCCTGAGTATCTCAAGCTACTCTCGTTCTGCCAAGCTTTGAGTGTAGTGGGACAACATCGGTAAGAGTACAAGCAACTTCAAAGATGTCAAGAGGATTTATTTGTTATTTAAATTGCTGCTTATCGTTCAAGGTGATGGCAGCCATATCCAATCTATGGCAGTGTCTCGTGTGATCTATTCTTGAAAAATTCCTTCTTACCTTGAATTGTCCGCGATCTTTACCTCCGCAATCATAAAATGAATTTCCATTTCCCCCACTAGCCCCACATCCGTTCTCGGAACGTATACCCCGATTCCAATGGGAACCCCTCTTTGCCCACTTCCTAGGTGAATGTGGTTATGGGTATATAGTAAGAAAAAAGGCATCACTCGATAGATCAATAGGACCGCTGGCGCAACGGTAGCGCGTTCGACTCCAGATCGAAAGGTTATCCGTTCAAATCGGGTGTGGTTCAATACCTCCATCGATCGAACTTTTGCTCTTTTGATTCTTGTGCCTATAGCATACATAGACTGACTTATATCCTTGAACATTCTTGCATCACCTGGAAATGGAGATGGAACTGTCAAATTTTGAGGTTCAGCGTTTGCTTTGAATTTAGGACTGATTAGAAAATTTTATTGAGCATCATTTTGGTACTCGTTCGTGAAACTTAGAAATGTGGGGTTTGATCACATTTTTGAAATCCCCAGATCTGCTGACTTTATTAATCCTCCAATCGATCCGGTATATTTTTGACTCCGCTCCTAACAGTTCTGAAGCGAGAAACTCCATAAAGGGGCAGTGAAAGAATCGGGAGAAGTATTCGGTATATGCACATGTACAAAATGGTGGAAAAGACATTATCCGATAACTTCTACCGGGGATTGGTTACCCGACAGTGTCTGTGTCTGAACGCTGGCTGGGCAGAAGAGTCAAGACAAATATCGAGGACTAATTTGAATTGAATGATAGATATATATATACTCTATTATCCCCATTCAATTCTCAACTATATATATTCTTCTTGTTGAATTATTCCCATTTTTTGTATCGAGAGGTTGGTGAATATTCTCGCCCCTTCATCGGATCCAGATCAATAGCCGACGCTTAACTCCCCCGGCTTCAAATCAATTGCCGATTTCATCGCGTCAACGACATTTACTATTTCTTACAAAAACTTCTTTTCCTCTATCAATTACCCTTCAATTCCTGAATCTTTCCTCAATCTGTAAATATGTCTCTCTCCCGCCGTATTCTCAACACAACTCGCCTTCCGGGCCTCCGCATAACATCATCTATCCGTTGTCAGTGGGGTCAAAAATCACGAGATTGTCGACACTTTCAAAGCTATGCCCGACTTTTAGAAGCGCCTCGAAACCCATATAAAGATGAGGAGAACGTTAGCAAAGCACCAAAGATTGTCAGAGGCGCGAGTAAAGTATATAAGAATGCTGATGAGGCCGTTGCGGATATCAAGAGCGGATCGACGATTTTGAGTGCGGGGTTCGGATTGTGTGGAACGGCTGGTATGTTATTTTGGCTTTTTTCTGCATGATTTTTGATCCTTGAGGGGATCTTCATAAGATGTGATTCTGATATGAAATATAGAAACTATTATCGAAGCATTAGAAAGAAGAGGACCAGAAAGTCTTCATTCCTTAACCGCCGTTTCCAACAACGCTGGAGCATCGATACCAGGTGGTCTAGGCGCCTTGACACAATCCGGTCAAGTAAACCGTTTAATTTTAAGTTTTATCGGTAGTAATAAGGTTCTTGAGAAGAAATATCTCGAGGGAAAAATTGCTATTGAATTATGTCCTCAGGGAACAATTGCTGAGAGATTGAGGGCTGGTGGGGCTGGTATCCCGGCTTTCTATACCCCTACTGGTGTTAGTAAGTATCTGCTTGATCCTTGAGATGAGATAAAGAATATTTATATTGATGGTTTATAGGTACATTGTTACAGACAGGTGGTATCCCTACTAGATTGGGTCCCCCAGCAGAAGGCTCAAAAGAAAATACTGTTTTAGAGAAAGGACAAGTAAGAGAAACCAGAGAATTTGACGGCAAGACTTATTCGATGGAGAAAGCTATTAAAGGAGATGTTGCTATTCTCCGGGCATGGAAAGTCGATGAAGCTGGAAACTGTCAATTCAGGTGATTCCCCGTGATCCAATGCCGAAGATATTATGATATTAACAAATTATAGATACACCACTAGAACATTCGGACCTATCATGGCCAAGGCTGCTAAAGTCGCTATTGTTGAAGCCGAAGAGATCGTACCAGTTGGATCGATTGCTCCAGCCGATGTTCATCTTCAAGGAATCTACATCGATCGTATTGTTCCAGCTACCGTTCCTAAGAAATTAGAATTGAAGAAGACTCGTGCACCAGAAGGTAAAGAAGATACTTCGAATAAATCAGATGCAATTATCAGAAGAGATAGAATTGCCAGGAGAACTGCAAAGGAATTGAAGAATGGTTACTATGTCAACCTTGGTATTGGTATGTTTGGTTCCCATGTTTTGAGCTGTGGCGAACAATGGTTAATTGGGGGTAGGTATTCCAACTCTCGCACCTTCTTTCTTGTCTCCTGAAACAAAGGTTTGGATCCAATCTGAGAATGGTATTTTGGGAATGGGTGCATATCCAACTGAAGAAGAAGTTGATCCGTAAGTTTTCTCCCATTTGTGGAACATCGACGACAAACTAATGTCTCCAAGCGATATCATCAACGCCGGTAAAGAAACCGTAACTCTTATCCCGGGTGCCTCCACCTTCGACAGTGCCGAATCCTTCGCTATGATCCGTGGTGGCCATATCGATGTCTCTGTCCTTGGAGCACTCCAAGTTGGAGCTAATGGTGATTTGGCCAATTATATGATTCCTGGAAAGGTAAGCTATTTCCTTGATCTTCCTTTTACCCCCCATCTAAGTATAGCAAAACTAATCAATCAAATCCACAGATCTTCAAAGGAATGGGCGGAGCAATGGATCTCGTCTCCAACCCTGACGAAACTAAAATCGTCGTCGCAACAGAACATGTAGCAAAAGACGGAAGCGCAAAGATTGTTCAAGATTGCAGTTTACCTTTGACTGGAGCAAAGGTCGTCAGCACTATTATTACTGATTTGGTAAGTCTTCGTATATCTCTAAATTCCCTCTACGCCTTATCAACCCTTATGAGTTGGGTTGATGGAAAGATTTAATAATTAAAATACTAACACCCATATTTTTAGTGTGTATTCGAAGTTGACAGAATCAATGGTGGTCTCACATTGACCGAGCTGGCACCAGGTGTAGATGTTGAGGAGGTTAGACAAAAGACTGATGCTAAGTTCGAGGTTGCGAGTGATATTAAGAGTATGGAGTAAGATGTATATTGTGGATGAAAATGATAATAGGTTATGTAAAATCACGAATGTAAAATGTTAAAAGAATTTTTGATGCAATTCCACCATGATAAATCGAGTGAGTTTGCTTTGAAAGTTGGAATTGAGATGAATGGTAAAGATGCATATGCAATGAAGTTTGGATTTCTTCTGATATTGCTCATTAGATCGATGTTCAGATCTAACATCTTTATTCAAACTGAGCCATGGCGACTCCGAGATCGAAGTATTTTTATTTGAAATACCTCTCGTGCCGTTCAACCCATTACATCTCAAACATATCCTCATCCTCCCAAGTAACACAAATCGTAGACAACTCCGACCCATCAACCGTTCCCATTTGAAACGACTTAAACCTCTCATCCACCGACACAAAAAGTTGTTCCTAATCATTCGGATCGCGAACTCTAGCATTCTGGATCCCCTTCATATATGAATCATCTGCTCTGATATGAGTTAGCCAATGAATCTCTTTCCCACAACGTGAAATAACCAAACATACCTCTGTCTCCTCATCTGATATGGCGTCAATGTACACGGAGCCGGAAGCACCCTATCACAAACCAATACCCTCGCTCCTCTCTTCAACGCCGGAATCAAATTTTTCAAAATCCTAGCCGCGTATTTATCAGACCAGTCATGTAACACATTACAAATAAGATATACGTCTGCTCCCTTTACAGATTGCTCTTGAAAGAAATCATGCGCCATGAAACTTAATCTGTCCTGCAAATCATCAGGTATGGTTGTATCTCTGACTACTTCGAGTTGATCCTGAACAATACACTTAAGCTTGGGAAGAAACCTTAAAAGCTCAATCCCAGCTTTTCCTTTCGCACCGCCTACATCTACCACAAGACCATTTGCAGCATCGTCCCATGAAAAACTTTCCAAAACGCGTTGTACACTCTCCACTTGGTCTGCTTTTCAAAAAAGCCATTGCTTTTCCCATTTGTTGCGAGCGTCTAGAGTCCCTTGATATATATGCATCATGGGAACATCTGCTCCATTAACAAGTGCATAGCCCGATTCATTAGATTCCTGCGATCCAGGCCATTTGATCATAGCATCGACGAGACGAGTGGAAGCGGGTAGCATTTCTTCGCTTACGAAACCGATGAAATCGGAGACGGGAGGGATCTCAGCAAGCGCTTTGGAAGATGCTGTGTGTGCGACTATTCCTGGAGATGGCTCGTGGAATATATAGAAGGACATTGCGTGTCGTATTAAGCTACGAACGTCGGATTCAGGAATGGAACATTTTTCGGCGATTTCGAGGAAGGTGGAGGTGCGGGTTGAGGGGAACGATTTAGCGCTGGGGTGATGGTTAGTTGTTTGTGGGTTAAAGGTGTAGGAGAGAACATAATGAAGAAGGCATGAGTCTATGGACATGATTTGATGACGTTTAAGTTAGGTTTGAATATTGTTCTTACATCCCAAATCGTTGTAAAGCGGTCACACTTATCCAAGCATTTGGCTATGCAAAAAAAAAGTCAATTTATATTTTTTCTGAAAGGAAAACACTGGGAAGACATACTGGAGGAATCAAAGATTCCACAGGTCCAAGCATAAGAGCAGTTAACTCATCCGATGCTTCAAGAATAACATTTCTAGAAGCTTGAATGTCTGGCGGTAGAGAGAGTCTGAGGGGGCAGGAAACATCAAAAGAAGGAGAAGGAATGTTATTCGACGCAAGATATTCATCAACTTTGCTGGTATTTCTTTGAATCGACGCGGCTAACTCTGCTATTCTTGTGGCTGGAGACATCTTGAGTGATCGTTTTTTCCAAATCAATCCTAAAATCTCCTTTGGGAAACTACATCCTTTAAATAGTGGTACATTGCACAATGACGAAGAGATTATTCCCTTGAGAGACCAAAATCACGTAATGTTGGGGAATTCCTCCTCTATTGGCACATATCCATTATCAGTTCCAACTGCAGCAAAGGTTGGTAGACACTAACGCAACTCATCATGTGCAGTATCCCAACTACATACGGAAACAACTCCGATATTCTGATTTCTCTAGAAGTGCTGCTAGAGAGAGATTTGGAGATGGAACTTTTTTATTAATGTGTACCAATGGCAAAAGTGCAGAGCATTGCTTGAATGAAACTTATCCCAAAATCAAGCGACGCTTATATACTTGTGTTCAGAAAATGATATTCAGAGCTTACTCTTTACCAGAAGATAACTGTCACAATTAATCAATGACCTCTAAAGAGATGCCCAGGATTTCTAACAGGTACAATGAACTCCAAGTCGACGAGACCAATCACTCTCTTCTGATCAAATGTGAAGTATTTCTCTTATATTTTCACAAATTCATCCGTATTCAAAGATTCAGACTTGGAAGCAAACTTGGATGAGAAACCGGGACTGGTCTTTCGGATTATCGAGGCGGTTGAAGCAAAGGCTGGAAGAAGAAGAGATGCACATTCTTCACGAGCCAAATAGGAAAAAAGCAAATGTAACGCTCAACATCGAATCCTTTTCACCCTCTTACTCAGATAATCAGTCCGGGACGATATTCAAAAAGACATCTAAGCATTGATTTGGGAAAATTGGAGGACAATGAGAGAAAGTTGTGAAGAAAACACCGGTAACTTTAGTTGGTGCATGACATAAGCTCTGGATTACAATAACCACTTGATACTGTACATGCAGACAGGATCTCTAACAGCGCGGAAGAACAGATATCAGAGATATCACCACACATGGAAAGAAACTTGTAGAATATTGATACTTAAACCAACGAAACTCACGGGGCGGATAAAAATCTCAAGCGGACCAAGCGGCCGCAATCCATCCTCGTCCCCGCATCTCCACAATAATTTCCATCTCCAGGTTATGAACTTTCCTCCCCTCGAATCCTCAATTCACATTCTCAATTCGCAATTCGCAATCCTCCATTTTCCCGCCCAATCGCAAAATTATATATACATAAACCTACCATGGGTAAAAATAAACGTCTCAAGTCCTCCTCCAAAAAAATCAAGGGAGGCCGCGGACCCGGAAAACCCAAACCAGCCGGAATATCGAAACCCAGCTCCAAGACCCCAAAACCCTCTGGCATGCCCACGAAAAAACACAAACAAACACACCAGACTATTCCTGTAATCCCCTTTTCCTCTCGCGATTCCATCCTGCTGATAGGCGACGGCGACCTCTCATTTGCGCGCTCCTTAATCACCCATCATGAAGTAAAAAAGTTAACTGCTACGGTTTTCGAATCTTCACTACAGATACTGCAGGAGAAATATCCGCATGTGGGAGAGAATATAAAGGAGATTGAAGAGGGAGGAGGAATTGTAAAATATGGGGTTGATGCGACGAAGATGCGAGCGTGGACGAATGCGAAAGGAGGGAGGGGAGATGGAGTGATGGATCGGATCATTTTTAATTTTCCGCATGTGGGTGGGAAGAGTACGGATGTGAATCGGCAGGTTAGGTATAATCAAGGTTTGTTTTTCTTTTCTGATCCCTTATTCTATTCGAGGAACATGCGCTTCCATTTCCGAAAGAAATACTAACGCACCCTCCAGAACTTCTCACATCCTTTCTCGCGCGCGCAATCCCCTCCCTCTCCCCTACAAAAGGCTCTTCAATAATCATCACACTCTTCGAAGGCGAACCGTACACGTTGTGGAATATACGCGATCTAGGTCGACATGCTGGATTGGAAGTGGAGCGGAGTTTTAAGTTTCAGGCGGGAGCGTATCCGGGGTATAAACATGCGCGCACAATGGGGGTTGTGAAGGGAGGAGGGGGATGGAAGGGAGAGGAGAGGAGTAGCAGAAGTTTTGTGTTTGTGAGAAAGGGGGAGGGGTGAAACAGGGAGTTGGGAAAAAGAAGAAGGATGAGAGTAGTGATGATGAGAGTGAGGTGGAAGGCGAAGATGAGGATATGAATGAAGACTTTGAAGCGGATGATGGGGAGTTTGAGAAAGGGATTGAAAGAGATGACGACAGTGGGTCGAATGATGAAGGAAACGAGGAAGATATCATAAATGGTGTTAGCGGGGACGGAGATGAACCTCTAAACCAAGATTGGACCGAGACAAGATGAAGCGGCACCAACAACCCAAGAGAAGAAGAATTCTAGGCAACAAGCAAAAGATTCCAAGGAGGCATCAATCTTCCACACGATCGGCGAAAACATTGTTACTCATTATGCGTAGTTGGCTATTTGCCATACTATGATATCATCTATTTGTACATTTACCCTGAAACTCCTCCGATATAACGCCATATCCGCCAACTTTTGATGTTATCGACTTTTCTTCGCATTTACCGAAATCTAGAGTTCAATGACGTCCAGAGGGAATGATGCTTGTTGTACCATGACTGGACCGTTCAAAAGGATCTCTCCACCCGACTTCAGCAACCCTTCACCAAGAGTACCTTCAGGATGTAAAGCATACATTGGTGCTTCCATTGTATCTCCATCAAACAAAACCATATTTTGAATGGGTTGTTGTCGGTGACCAAGCACATTAATAACATCTTGTGCAAGTTGACCACCAAGGACCGCTGTAACAGGAGCTATTTCGCTACCAAGATTTTGGAGAAAACTTCGTAGGACTTCCGAACGTAGTGTTTCAACAGGAAGCCCTAACGCTGTGTGCTTTTTATGAGCCAAGACAGTAAATAGTTGAAGGTCTTCTTTGGTTGAAGGCAATCGACCATTTTGAAGTTGAACAAATTCCCATAATGCTCGTAGACATGTCAAAATTGGAGTAACTGCCCTTAAACGACGTCTGCTTTTGAGATATTCAGCAGGTAATGTTGCAGCATCACTAGCCAAAAACCAGGTCGAATAAAACTCTCTCTTTGTAACAACCTCCATAGATTTTCCATTTTCCTTCTTCGTCTTGACATCAATGACACTGCGAGTTCGTGTTTCTGATTGTAGAAGGGTAGGTCTATTGCTTCGTTCTCTCTCCACCACATAATCATGTTGAATCAAATCCGAGAAAATAAAGCCATAGAATCCATGAACCCCCGCTGCATAAAAAGGTTTGTGATTTAATCTCGTAGCCGTATTAATGATATTCAAACTCTCCGGGTCCAGATCCGCCGCAATCACAATATCAAATCCCCCAAAATATTGCGGTCCTTTGCTTCTGATATCATCTTTGTCCACAATCACATTTACTCTCGGATTCAATTTTCGTATTTGAGGCGCCGCGGCTTCAGCGCGGTTTGAACCAATATCAGCTTCGGAGATGAAAAATTGAGCACCTAGATCGGCGGGGGTAACGATAGCATGATCGCAGATGGTTATGGAGTGGATTCCGGCCAAGACGAGATTTTTGGCTGTTTCGTTGGAGAGGGCTTTCATGGTTATGAGGAGGATGTTGGCGGAGCGGATTTTCTCTTGGGCTTGAACTCCCCAGAGTCGGATTTGTCGATCATAGAGCGCGATTTCATCTTTGAGGGAATGAATGTTAGTTTTTTCTTGCTTTTTGTTGTTTGTTGTTTGCTAGGAGGGGAGGGAACAGAAGACTTACCGGCGCTGATACCTGCTGAAGTCATGATGGGCACGACGTTGGGATTGGGTACTTCCATTGAAGGGAGATCCATTTTGGATATTGTGGAATTGTGCGATTGAATGCTGGTTGTTGGTTGTAGAATTGGAAGGCGAGAGAAGTTGGAGATGTGAATATGTAAATTCTAGAACTTGACTTCGTAGGTGAAGGAAGGTAATCTTATGGTTTGATGATAAGTAACCTTAAAGCTTAATCTTTTGCTATCTTAGCGTGATTTTTTGAGATGTGAGGCTGAAATTGTGCCTTGTTTTTGATTGATTCATTAACTTATAAGGAGGATATACTTTTTTGATATTGAGGCTGCGACGATAAATCGAATATGGAAATCTTTACTTGTGTTCAAGTTTTGATTGATGTTCACTTTGCCATCCATCCATCCATCCATCCATCCACAGCTCAGCTTACCTGCCTGCTTACCCAGTTCTTTGTCTAATGATGTTCCTATCTAATCTTCTATTGTCCTAGTTCTATGTAATCCGAATCAACCCCACAAAGCCCCATAGGAATTTCTGCCATGATCATTCACCACTCACACCAATTCTTTACTTCACTTACATATCTCACACCTCACATTTCGCATTTCACACCTCACTCATCACTCATCACACCTCACACCTCACTCCTTACACCTGATTACACCTTACACCTTACACCTGATTACACCTTACACCTTACACCTTACACCTTACACCTCACTCCTCACTCCTCACTCCTCACACCTCAGACCTCACTCACTTCATTACTTCAAGGGTTCAACAAACCACGTCTTCTTACTACAACACCATCACCCAATCGATCAAATATTTAAATATCCACTCACACACCTCTACCTAGTACATACATACATACGGAGTACACACATACATTCAACATCAGCGATCCATAAACTTCTTATTAAAGAAACATCCTATACGAATAATATCTCTCCCCACATCCTTTGTCAATCCACTCGAGAACATCCATATTCATTCTCTCCGCAATCGCCTCGCCATTGGCTTACAAAGATTCAATTCAATCCAATCCCCCATGTCAAGGCGTCTCTTTTCAATGGTACATTCATCTTCCTAACATTCGCCATATGATCTATCCCACTAATTAATTTGATTAAAGTCGGGGAACTTTGATGATCCACCGAGTCATTCATCCACAGATTCTCCCACCGAAACAGCAGAAAGATTAGTTCAAGAAATTCTAGAGCGCGGTCCTAATTCGAATAATACCATCAGTCCATCGGGTGAACTTTACAGAGCAATAGGTCGATACACTGAAGCACGAAGAGCAGAAGCCGAAGATATAAGAAATATGTCATCGTCAGAACGTAGGGTCGAGAGGCAACATAGATTAGGAGGAAGACGCTCAACATTAAATCATGGATCAAGTCGGGAGGAAGCTGATGAGAATGAGAGGGAAAGGGATGTAAATGCACGAAGAGCCGAAGTTATAAGAAGGCGAGATGCAACCAGGCCTATTCCTCCTCTACTTGGTCGTCGAAGACCTCGCCTCTTACAATCCGATCGATATATGGAACCACAACGTGCTTCAGTCGAAGGCAATCTTCTGAACTCCTTATCCGAAGATGTAAGACAATTAGAAGCCGCAAGTTTAAACCTTCGAACTTTATTAGCGACCCCAATCGGTTCCAGGCTACCGTCACCCGATCATGTCACCGAGGGAGAGTTTGGTCGTAGAACCAAGAGAAGAAAATTGGATCAAGATAATAAAGGAGAATCGTGGCAAGGCTTTAAATATGGAAAGTATGGTCAAGTCGAACCTGGTACTTTACAAATGGAGATTGTTAGTTGTGATGGAGGATTATTTCAAAGTTGTCCAGAAGGAGAATATGGTTCAGATAATGTTTTGAAAGATGATAATACCGTTTACTGTACTAAAAGTAATCGTTGTAATATTGTCTTGAAACATCAAGGCGAAACTACATTTTCTCTTTCAGAAATAGTTATCAAGGCACCTCATAAAGGATACACAGCCCCGTCAGTATTTTATGATCTGTTTCCAATACCGCGCAATGCTAATTAATACTCAGAGTTCAAGAAGGTATGGTATTTGTCTCCGGAACATCGAACGATCTCCTTACTCGTACTGCGCAATACCAAATTCAATATTCCTCACCATCTCGAGAAAGGCCACCTGTTTCTATAATGTCTATTCGTCATAATGATGATGGTACTAGAAGTATGACAACTGCTCAAGCTCGTGCGGGACGTCTTGTTCAATTGGGTGCTCAAGATCCTGAATGCGACTTAAATACTCCATATATTCCACCGACAGCCCAAATTCCATCCGATTTTACCAATATTACTTCACCATATCAAGTCACTATGGAATGTAGTAGTGACTATTCTGATAATGAGGATCAACCTCGAAGAAATCGTCGAGCAGCTTATAGAATGAGAGTATCTAGAGATATTTCAGATGATCTTCGACTACCGGAAGAAAGTAGTGATGATGAAGATGAATTTCCTCCAGCAGGTTACAGACTTTCAGATGATGGTACTCATTACTATTACGATGCATCATATTCTGCAAGAGTCTCAAGAAATAGACCACAATTGGAAAGGAGGGAAACAGCTAGTAACATTACGTTAGCAGAAGCGGCAGAAGCATCTCAAATCGCAACACAAGAAGCAGTTGCAGCTGTAGGAGGTGAACTTATGGTTCCTCATGCGAAATTCTTTATTGAGAGGGATAAGAGTAAGTGTACTATTAAATTTAGTACACCGATTAGTGGGAAATATATTCTTTTGAAGTTGTGGAGTCCCGATGGGAGGAGTGATGGAAATATTGATATTCAGAGTGTGGTGGTCAAGGGATTTGCGGGACCGAGAATGTTTCCAAAAATGGATTTGATGTAGGTGTTTGATTCAAGGGTTATTGTTTCTGAGGCATGGAAATAGAGGTTCATGATGAATGGGAAAGGAAATTAGGGTCTGGGATTTTGATCACGGTTGGGATTTGGAAGGATGGTATTGGGGGTATATGCATGAATGATTGGTGGGTATATGAAATGGGAAATAAGGTCGGAGCGAGGAGGGAGGAAGGAGGATATAGGATCGCATATTTAATGAGAATATATGCTGGTACATATATATTATATGTATTGAAGAATGCATGTGGTTTTGGAAAAATGAGACCTGGTGGTCCTACATTTGAGCAATTGGAACTTATATCTAATGGAAATATGATGGAACTTGCGATGTAGTGAATGTATATGTGAACGTGAATGTGAATGTGAATGTGACTATGTAGCGAAGAAGTAGAAGTGGATGAAGAGAGGAGGGTGGAATATTAGATAGGTAGCTCGTTTTTATCGACGGGTAAGTCGTAGGTAGTATAATTATCCATAGTGTTGGAATTTGAATTTGAATTCGAATTCGAACGGCGGTGTGTGGGAAAGGAGAGTGTAGGAGGGAGGATATGCTTTTGTTTGTGCTGCCCCTACTGCTTGGGGGAGGGGAGGGGAGGGGTAGATGATGGATGGGGAGTATGAAGGGGAAGACAAAGGGAAAGGGAAAGAGTATGGATGGGATGGGGAGGATGAATGGGGAGTTTGGATGGGGAGTTTGGTGCATCTCGGTTGGTAAAATTGGGGAAGAGTTGGGTTAGGTAGGGAGGGTGGGTAAGGAGGGCAGAGTGATGTGGATAGGTAGGTAGGTACTGGGGTTCCTGTTTTTGAGGGGGGTGGGAGAGGGAGCGGGGGGTGGATTATTGTGTGAGGTGTGAGGTGGAGCTGATTCCCTCGCTGATTCCCTCACTTATTTAGTCACTCGCTCACTTACCTAGCTAGGCCCGGGTACTCAAATAGCCTTTATTTTTCTTTTTGATATAATAATAGGTAGGTAGGTATCTAGTATTCCGTGCTATGATATCGTCAGTTCTTTGTAGGATTACTTGGTTCGAGTGTATGGGTTTGAATGTATGGTTTTGGGTCTATATAATATGTTGATTGCTTTGGTTAGGGAGGTTTGATTAGAGGGGGTTTGGGATTGGGAAGGGGGGATGGGGATGGGGATGGGGATGGGAATTGGGATTGGGGTGGTTTTGGGTGGAAGGAGGGAATGGGGATAGAGATGAGGATAAGAATATTAAGGAGGGGAGGGTGGAAATATTAAGGAGAGTGGGAATTTTGAGTTTGATTGGGAGATTGAGGTGAAGTTTGAGTTGGGGATTGGGGTTGGGGTGGAGTGGAGTGGAGTGGAATTGTGATAATAATTATTTCTCTGATTGATGGATAGAGCTCCAGGTAGATTAGAGATTTTCTAGTTTGATAATAGGGTTTGATGATGAGATGAGAGAGTTGATACACGGGTTGATTTTGATGATGGGAAGGCAAAAGGAGGAAAGAAAGTTTGGAATGACAGTAAGTTTTCTAGGGTAGTGATGATACTCGGGTGAATGCCGTTGGATTTTTTCTTTGATGGAAGAGAAGGAGGGGGATGGGATAGAAGGTGGAATGGTGAGGGCTGTAATGTGGAAGTGGAAATAGATATCTAGAGCAACTTTGAAAGTACACCATTTCCATCTTGCTGTATGTCGAAATTATGGAATGTTTGATTTGATCTTCTTGATGGAGGGGAAATGGGTGATGGGGTTGTGAGGTGTTGATTGATTGATTGGAGGGTGGGTATGGGTACAGGGTCTAGTGCAGAGTTAGTCAAGAGAGGGATGCGCGTAATGATTTCTGATGATTCACTATTGTTGCTTATCGCATGGGTGTGGTTGAATTTCCAAATAATCAAGCGCGGGGTTGTGTAGGTACCTATATAAAGTTTGAATACCTACCCTGAGCTAATTATTTGTAAGATATTACATTCGTGGAACACGGAAGTCTTTGAAATTAAAGGGTGTGGAATTGAACCAACTGGTTTCTGTTTCTTTATCAGGGAGAGAATGTCCTTTAATACGAGGTGGTTTGGGAGGCAAGCTGGGATGGCAGGGAAATATTTAGATGAGATGGTGGGGAGTTGTGATGATGGTGATGAGACTTAGGGGGTTGACGATAAAGAAGTGTAGATGATAATAAGAGATAAGTTACGAAAAATGAGTGCTCGCTGGTTTTTACGTCAAAAAGTGGAAAGGGAAGCAATGGTGGTTTGAGATTAGTTGAAATGGACAAAGAGATTGCATAGACTGGGTAGCCAAAATCTTTCTAATCATTTTTGTTGAAGGTTTAGGAAGAATGAAGTGGATGTTTATATATGCTAGGAGTCGGAAAATGTAGAGAGTCACTTTGGGAGGGGAGAGCGATACGGTTGCGTAAGTGAATATCTGGGAATCAGTAGGATGTTGAAAGTGGATGGGGAAGGAGAAGAAAGAATCGCGCACGGAAGTACTTTACTGGAGAATTCAAATGGATTATTTCTATACACCCCTCCTCGATATCACGCTCGCTAATTACTCTCTCGCTAAATTTCGTTTCTCGGCACAAAAACGTAAGCTTCTCCTGTTTCGATAACGGTAACGGTAACGGAACGCAGAATAGTTCATTTGCATAGCATATGGTCCAAAGCTTGGGATGAAATTCTTGAAGCTATAGCTTGAAGTGTTCTGGGCTTATTTTCGACTTTCGAGACACAAGAAGTGTAGGAGTGGGAAATTGGGATCGGAGGCTACGAAGTAGAGTCGCTTGTAGCGAAAGTAGTTGTTGACGGTAGCAGATGTTTGTTTAACAACAATCAAAACGACTTTCAAGCATAATTTTATGAGTTGTTTTGATCAATGAGTGCCAAGCACGATTTTTGAGGTCCGAAAGTTGCGGAAAGTTTGGATTGCAGGAGCGCCTGATGCAGTTGTTAGTTTCCTTAGTCTCTATATCATCATTCCTTATTGTAAGGTGTAATTATGAGCCTTGAGGGGGGCGGTGATGATTTTTATAGATTGTGTGAGAATCTGAGAAAGAATGGAGCTGTGCGGAGTTATGGGAGCCCAAGAAGAATTGAGGGGAAAATAGCATATTCAATTGAATGACCACCTCGATCTGCATTCCGTGACGCATAATTCACTCTTCTTCTTTGTTCATGTCTAGACTCGTGACCACTTTAAATACTCTCCTTGAGCATCCTTATCTCCCATATAACTTATAAAAGCACTGCTCTTGATGAGTTTATCCTCTTCAAGACATGATGACGAAATAGCCTCAATTGGCCACAGGGGAGGGATTCCGCATCTGTAGAATAGAGTGATTCTGTATTGTCTGAACTTGTAGGATGTATTGATGAGATTTTGGGTATATTCATGTATGTTTTTTGTCGATTCCTTTTGTTCAATTTTTAAATTGTGAACAGGTGTTGTGGAAATAATGCATTTTGAGTATATTGACAATGATAAGGAGTTACATGGCAGTAATAGCTTGATATCAAGTTCTTGTACACCATAAAGACTAGGATCTTAGCTTTACCAGGTCATACCTCCAAAGCTTTCAATGAAGCGATGTCAGATAACGAAACAACACCCACAGCGAGAAAGAACCCCTTCAACGTTTGGTCTTAGCTTTTGATTTGTTTGTATTGGATAGTCGAGAAGTGACGATGCTTTTATATATGAGAATGGAAGAAACATACAAGGAATCACCAAGGAATCAACAAGGAGGTGCGGGGTATGAGAGAGATGCAGTGGTGGAATTAAAGACTTGTATGTTGGCTTGAGTGGGTGATGACTCCACTTACCGCGGATGGGAACTTCTCCGGCGCTTCAGTGTTATTCACTAACCCCCAATTTCTCTACCTAGCCGCGGTAATGATTTTATACCTCTTTTCTATAAAAGCGCTTCAGTCACCCACTGTTCTCTTCTTCCTAAATGTCTTGATTCCAACCTTTTCTTGGTCCGTACTTGCGGCTAGGGAGATACTTTATTTTGAATCATGATCTTTTGGTTGATTTAACAATTATTGATAGTATCAAACCTGAGTTCCGGAGCTGAGTCGCTATTCTCAGGTGGTGATTATCATTGCTATGGGGCGGTGTATTGTTCTTTGAAATGTGACGAAAATGATGGAATAGCAGCAACAAGATTCTTGATGAAAAATTGGATAAAATTCAGATAATATGCGAAAGGACCGGGAATGATAGTAACACTCTTAAGTGGGAATAAAGTTGTAACTAGTGGTATATTCTACAATTTTGAACTCTAGGAACTAGCTCCTATTCAAAGTATTGAACGAAAAGCCCAGGAAGATCGTGATAATAGGTGGGATATTTCACTCAATATTACTGTTTCTTCCTTCTAGGCTTCCTTTCGAAGAAATGTAAGAAGGCAAGATGGGGGTTTATATAATCATGTATAGCAAAAGACTAATTATAGACCTTGAGAAAAGAGCCTGGAACGAAAATGAATGTAACACTTCGAAGATGGAGTGAATTAAATACCATTCAGTAGGTAGCTGTGAATGATTCAATCAGGTATTGCGACCTCTGTGCTGGGAGTTTCAATATATCTGGCCTATATATAAACGCTTGAATTTCGACGTAGTTTTCTATCATGTAGTGAGAACAAACCAAACTAGTACAGATCACAGGTTTCGAGACCAAAGTTGAGCTGTGCAGATTAATACGGTAAATTCTGAATTTATGTTTGATTGATCGGGAGTGAGAATTGTACTTGAACTCTTGTTATCTCACTATCATTGGTGTCATTAATGTTGTTTAATACATTCTGTCGATGAGAATAGGAAATGGCAGTAAGAGAAGCAAGTGACGAGAAATAAGAAAATCTAGATTTGAGTTCGAGAGCAGAAAGAAGTCAGTGGGTGTACGATATTTTTAAAAGCTAAACTCGTAATATTAGAATGATAATGGGACTTGAAAGGTACCAGTATCATATCCTTCTCGTAGTTGCTGCTAGTCACATATTGCAGAGCATAACTTTGAGATAGAGATAGAGTAACAAGCCTCGGAGACAGTTGGAAGACAAAAATTCCCACATGATATCAAGTAGTCTCTACTTTCCTCGTTTGCTGAGGATTCAAAATAGAATTGTAAGTTATTTATATATTGATATTGAGAAGATTGAAGGGTTTGAAGCTATGGCATCTAGATCTAGGGGAATATGAGTCCGACACTTACTTTAAAATTCACTGCTGTTTTGTCACTTTGTTTCTTGTAGTCATTTCATTACAACGTCTATATAGACCTCCTTACATCTAAAATTATTTCTTCTTCATAGTCATTACGCTATACGCTTACTTGGAGCAACCAGTTGAG